CATTTTATACCATTTGGATATCATAAAAATAAAAAAATAAAATGTTTCCAATTAATAAATCTTATATAAATAAAAAACGTTAGTCCTAAAAAAAATTTATATGAATTTATATTCTAAAATCATTGATTATATGTCATTAAAAATAATATATAATATTTATGTATTATAACATTATGATGTACTTACCTAAAGTATATTCGTATGTTGTTTAAAAGTTTTTTAGAATACAATTTTTCCACTGTCTGAAATTTACGCCAAATATTAGTCATTTATAAATTTTTAATAGTCAATTGTTAAAAATGTTATGAAGTAAGCGACGTGTGAACGTAGCATTGTGTTTTTAATCACTTACCAAAATAAAGTTTTGACATGATTCTTTGGATCAATTCGATGTTATATAATAATATAATATAAACACGAGAGAGGACATTAATAAATTTAAATTAAAGCTAATAAGTGTAAATATAAAATTACACAACTTGAACTTAATTTATGTTTTACATTAAACTTAAATATGTACTGACTTAATCTGTTAATTTCAAGTTAATTTTATGTTATGAAATCTAAATTTAGTTAAATATTTTCAAAATACGTTTCCACGATAAACCAAAATAATATTTGCTTTAACTAAGACCCTTGCTTCAAATTTTGAAAAATAACATCTTAATTATTCACCTACTAATATATTAAAATAAAATATTTATTTTTTTTTTGATGCCGAAATGTCCAGTAAATTATATATTTTCAATTAGATTAAAAATAATAAGTAGAAAGGCAGCTGCAGATGAATAATATTGATAGATGGGTTGGGAAAAATGAGGGATGACGATTGCAATCGTGCACACTTGTAAATATTGCCACGGATATTTCCGTCAATTATGTATATGAATACCTAAGAAAAAAAAAACTCGGAAAAGAAATATCGCCACCGTTATTGTTATTGCACGGTCGGTGCGCGGTGGCCCGTGAAATTGGCTCGTCGTGCGCGCGTGCCACCCCCTCGCCCGTTCAACCAGTATAATGTCATTACGACGCATACTCTGTGTTGATTTCCAATATTTCCTGTGGCATTCATCAGAGTGTTAGTATCTATCTAATATACATGTATTTTCATTACTCATTAAACTATGGTTGGGTTTCGACTTGCATGTAGGTGTGACACTACCCAGATACAAATTGTAATATTATACTTGTAGTATAAATAAGTATTACTTAACTAAAATTAATATAGATTTACAAAATAAATTTGATAAATTTAATATTCGAGTGATACTACTGTATATTTGTACCGATAATATAAATTACTATTTTCGTGGAATGGCCATCGAGTGCTGATGAATTATATTATCAGCAACGAGCATGACTGTATGAGCTATTTCCTACTATACTCACAATGTAACTGCACAGTTTAATTACGAAGTCATATAGTCGTTAATCTGTCGAGACATATACTTTGTAAAATAAGAACATGAGCTATTACCTTCAAAATATCTACAAAATATAACGAATAGGTACCTAAAAAATGTTAAAGGTTGTTTTATTTTGAGTTTAGCCAAAGTTGCTTGTCACATTTTATCATATATAAATATAATCACTCTTATATATTTATCTGTATTGTATAGGTAGTCGTGAAAGAAAAGGTTTCCTCTTAGTTTCTACATCCATTCTTGTGTAAAATTAATTTATTGACGTCGTGCGACGAGATAGGATTTCGAATGACGTACAATTGGCGAGACCGGTAATGTATGACTAAATTCAGTTGATACTTGTCTCGTATCTGATTGTATCTCTATTTTGATTCTTAGCATAAATATCTCGGCTTAAAAGTCGGATATCCTGTATAAGCATACGTGTTTTCTAATAACATTTTTTAAATAAGCAGATGTTGTACTCTGATTGGTGGTCTTCGATTTTGAAAACACTAATTTAATTTTTCTTATGATGTTAAAAATATTTCATGTTTTTTAAAAATATTTATAATTTATAATACAATAATTACATAATAAATAGTTAAACATAATATTGTACATTTAGGTACGTCTATTATCTTTTTTTTTCTTATTTTGCATCATCAATTTTCAAAAGTTCAATAATTAGCACTACTTTCTATCTTTCCATATCATCGGATATTGTCCTCCTATTTTCATGCATTTTATTTGTTATATAACGTTTTTTAAGTTAAGCTGTCTTACATTTGTCACTCATTTTAAAAGCAAACAACATTGCAAAAGATATAAAATGATATATAAATATTATATCGATTTTCTATTTTATTTTTTCATCATATTATTCGCTGTTGTAGTTTAATTCAGTAGGCATAGAAAAAATAGTTGTGAAACTGTACTGACACATTCGGGTTCTCGGTAATACTTTACTATTAAAAAAGTTAACTACTGAAAAAAGTGTATATATTTTAAACATATTACTTGAATAATTATTTTTATCCATTAATTCATATTTATTACACTTTGATGTTACTATTCACTATATGACTAACCATACGATAACAAAAATATGAACAAAATAGCTTATGATCTTAATCGATTTATTCTTTCATTTTATAATAAACACGTAAAACATAAAACAAGTAAAGAACGTATAAGTATATTACCTAGCTATATAATAGCTATATAGTTTTGTATATTTTTAATACCTACACGACGGAAAACAAAATGCGCGAGTGTCAACAATTCGCTCGAACAATAATATTAGGCATAACATTTCAAGGACACGTCACAAATCAGTTAATTATTATATAATATTATTATTATGTACATATGATGCGATTTTAAATATTAATAAAAGAAATAAAAATAATTAACGTAATAATATTTGCAAATTGCCCAAATACATGACGTAATAAATAAATTATTATATAAACTTATGGCGCAAAACTTTAAGTGTCTAATGTAAATAAATATATAATCATACAATGATAGTTATTCAAATAAAAACCCTACAATACAAATACTATATGGCGGAAACGGCCGAAATAGGAAAAAAAACACAACATTTACGGCAAAACAGTAATAATATTATGTCGCAAAAGTACAGTATATAATAGTTGTCACTCGCCGCTTATTGGACTCACTTTAGAACCAGGGCAGTCTATTAACTGAACGAGGTAATAACATGAAAGATCTAAGAGTGAAAAAAAATTTTAGAATTAAATTTGGCTATGTAGTTATTAAATATATTTATTGTTTGATATATATTTATTTATTCATGTATTTAGTATGTATTTTTTCATCAATGAAGTAAAAAACATTGTTCTCTTTCAAAAATTTTGGACCATTAAGATTAAAGTCTTGGAAGTACTTATATATACATATTTTTTTTAAATAAATGTATAATTTTAAATTAAGTAAAAAAAAAAAAAAATATCAACATTTTTAATACCTTCTTTTCAATACGACAAATTTATAAAATAATTAAAGACAAAAATCTTCAAATAAATACGCAATAAAATTGATTAAATGATCTAGATAGTGTGGAATTATGCCTTTAAAAAATTATATTGTCACAATTAATCAGTGTAGTAAGTTCAATAGACGATTTTTTTTTTTTTTGTACATGTAAATTGGAACCAGCTTGTTTGAATCCAATAAGCGAATGAGTCCATTAACTTAGTGAGTCCAATAAGCGGCGACAGCTGTATTATATTTTTATGTTTTATAATTATAATATAAATAATTTATCAGTCATCCAGAAAAAAAAAAACAACAACAAAAAACGCATGAGAAACATATGACGTATTTATCGAGTTTAATAATGACCATTGATATAATAACACACAATATATTATATAATAAATAATAATAACAAATATTTAACCATGACGTAGTAAATCGGTGTACAAATGAGATTTTTGTTTTTTGGCTGATGTACCTAGTTATATTATAACGGTATACAAATAATCGTGTTTATATTTGCTTATTTTAATAATTTGATAATAATAGAAATAAATCTATTAAGCTACCTAAACTTTTTTTGGACTTTGGCTTTTGATAAAATATTAAGCGTTTAAAATATGTCTTCAGTCATCAAAAAAAAAAAAAAAAAAATCATAAGAAAATCATATTTATACGTATAAAGCGTATAATATAGTATAGCTTTTTCAAAAGTTACGTACCTAGTATATAATTATATTATATAATATGTATAATTAATCGACGACGAAGACGTTAGTTCTTGACTACAGTCCAAACGAGTTCTGAGGCACTATAATGTCATATTTTTTCATGATATTTATGTCGAATTCAATCGAGTTTATTTTGTCATTTTATTATCTTACGCGCATAACGTTTGGATACGAATATTGTACGAAGCGAACACAATAATATTAACAAAAATCGTCTATAGTATAACAATATGATAATAATATTTTAATGAGTACGGTCGAGTCAAAAATAACAGATCTTCATCATTGGTTTAAACGTTTGGAAACAGACGGAGACTATAACAATATTTTTTCTACACTAAACAAGGTTAGGGTTTGTGTAAAAACGAACGCGGGAATCACGTCAATAGAATATATTGGAATAAAAACTTAATAATGACGTATAGTATCGCGGCTACTATTTATTATTTATGATAAATAGTATGACAGTATAATTATTGTAATAGGTGCGGTTGACGACTTGCCTGTCGGACGAAACCGCGACCACGGTATATACCCACGGTACGTACCAGCCGTTCACCGGCACACCAGGCTCTCGTTGTCGGCCGCGCACTGACCGTCTGGTGGCGACATGAACACTTTGCCGTTGCCGCACACGCACAGCTGATACACGCTGGGCAACTTGTCCTCGGCGCCTCTCTTTTTCGTGCCACCGATGGAATTCTGCTGTGCAGTCGACTTGCCGCCGCTGCCACCGTCCCTGTCAGCAGACATCGCAGCAGCCGCCGCCGCCGCCGCCGCTGCCGCCATATTGGCTGAAGACGTTGTCTTGACCGTCTTCAGTCCCTTGAGAAACACCTTGGCCGCGTCGATTTGTATCTATAACACGATTAATACAATAAAACGTAATGATAATATAATCATTAAAATTGTTGCTGGCGGCGATTAATTAATCAAATAAAACAAGCTGTTGAGAAAAATAGAAAATAAAATACCAAGTTAACTATTAACTTAGACTTGAATATTTTTAACGCAAGTTAATTTTAGATTCTGTGATATTCAAATATCTCTGAAAAATGTTGTCATTCAAAAATAAAAAATCGAATTGACGTTTCACGGAATGTTTTTATAAGTATTTTATAAACACAATATAATTTTCAAAATATTTTGGCACTGTTCCTATTGTTTTTACTTAATAGATATTTTAAATATTTAACACTTTTATAGTTTAATTTTTCTTTTAAATTTATTCCTGGTACATTTTTTTTGTTTATACTCTAATAAAAAAAATATTAAAAATATATAATCACAGTTTTTTTGAGTATTTAAGAGGTAAAAATTGAAAAAAAAATATAATATAGTATAATAATGATAAAAAATGGTGTAAATTATAAAATTTTAAATACTGGTATAACAAGTGGTAAATGATAAAAAACAATCATTTCGTGACTTTTAAAAAAATAGAAAGATTAGGGTTATTTGAAACGGGGACGTACATTTAGTGACGGTAATAAGAAAATTCTTCACTTATATTGTCCTCCTCTTAGCTTAAACAATTAACGGGATATTTGGTAGAAAATGTGTAGGTACAGCCCAAATTTTTCTTATATTTGTGTAAGTATAAAATTCAAACAGGAAGCAAAATTTCCATTTTTAAGTACTAAACCGGAACCATAAATGAAAAATTATCAAGGTCCCAGTCATTGTGCTAATTATAATATTATGTAGGAATTAACAGAATCTTATAGTAATTTTTGACAATGTCTAATAAAATATAAAAGTTATGTTAACATTTATAAAAATATAAATATTGATTAAGCATTATTATTAATGACTGATATGTTTTCTAAAAAATATAAAATAAGTGGAGCTTATTTTTTTAATATACTATACAGTGTTTCTCAACCAATGTATTGCGATATACAGTGTGTTGCTGAATAAGTCTAATAGTTTCACGAAGTATATTATATGACACATAATATAAAAATATTTTTAACAGAATTTTCAAAAACTAATAAGTTAAAATAATACTATATATATTATTTTGATATAATTTCTGAAGATTAAAAATTTATCGACATATTTTACATTACAAATTAAAATTAAATATTACTCATTATACTTTTTTTCATTGTCCGTCTCAAAGTATGAAATATTTTAATGGCGTGTTACACTGATACGAAAGTTGAGATACACTGCACTAAATTATCATCCAAATTATTTTTTTTACTGCATACGCTATACTAGGTACGTAATTTTGGTCTATATATTATATTTTTATCAGCCTGATAGTTGTAATAAACAATACATCTTACTAACAACTCAATATATTTTAATATTGGTAGAGAATTATTTTGTAAATTTGTGAAGATTTTTTTTAATAAATATACATTAACACGATTCCACAAATGCCAAGTTTAGGTATATATATTACACACACGATGTACATTATTCTGCACGATACCTTATGATATTTATTACTTTGTAATAAAATTATACATTTGTTTGTTCTATTATAATTAATTATAATAATATTATTATAGGAATTTACATTTTATCTAATACCTAATCTAAAAAATGTAATTATTTTTTTTTCAATTAATTTAGCTATCATGATACGATAAAAACACAATGTTTTGTTACTAAATATGTAATTTGCTAAAAAAAAAAAAATGTTATCATTTCAAAATATATGTTTAACTATAAATCCGAGGTAAAATATAAAATATGAATAAGTATAACAATAATGTGTTAAGTGTAAACTAAAATCTATTCTCTGAAAGAATTATTTTTATAATAGGTACATAGCAGAGTTGTTTATTGTACAAAATTATTTCTACGTTACAATAATATATTATTGTTTTCAAATGTTTTTCGATATGATTGTAACATTTAATTTAAAACCATGTGGAACTGTGGTGTGTGTAAAAATTTAATTTGTGGGATCACGTTTGTATATGAATGGTTATTAAAATACACACGGTTCCAAATAATTTCGGATTTGTGTTGCAGTCGTTAACATTCCTTAGAAATTTCCTAGGAATTAGTCTGTATGTTAAATGCATAATCTATCTCAAACAATAAACACTCAAAAGGATGTTTAACATGCTTGTATTTTCTTCATCTGAGAAAAGTGGAAAATATGCTTTAATTAGAACTAATTTTGTCTTTTTAGCTTTAATGTATTCGAGTGAATTAACCTTTTATTGAGCTCAATGGTAAAAACATTATCTATGTTCTTACGTTGAGTTTTTTTTAATAATAATTTAATTGTAATATTTTACATTTAAAATATTTACGTAAAAATTTAAATATTGTAAAAACGTGACTTTCAAAACACACTTAATGTTCTTATTATAAGTAAATAATAGACCGATTCACTATAATTTCAAACAAAATAAATTGGCCTATGAATTTAATTTTTATCGATTTTTATTGTTGGTATGTTTTTTTGTCTTAATTTCTATAAATTAAATTTAGTAAAGCAATTGTCCTTTACTTGATAATAAATCATTCTAACAAAAATGAGCAAAATAAAATTGGAAATACTTTATAGCATTTCACGTTATTTTGGTTTTTAAGTCAGCTTAAATCAAATATACGATTTAGTAAGTCATTGAGACAAATATAAGCTTACGATAAGAAATAATGTATTTCGATTATTTTGTCTTGTAAATATTTAAGTAAAAAAAAAATAAAAGTTATTAAAATATTATTATTAAATTATGATATATACAGCAAGTATATTCTATTATAAGAATTAGGTAGTAATCTCCTAGGTAGGTATTTTATATACTAGAGAGATAATAAATTTATGTATAAGAATTCTAACGAGGTAAAAAAAAAAAAATAAATACACACCGCTCCGGCTATTGACTGCAGCTTGACGTCCATCAGACACGATACGGTTATGTCACCGGCCCTGGACTCTATAGTCACACCTTGGGGACCGCTCAGCTCGAGTCTTCGAGACGCTGACTCCAACCTAAATATATATTATAATAATATATCATATTAGGTATACAAAAAATAACATAATACACCGACACAAGAATTATTATAATAATTGACTATCGAAATGAACATGACCACGTTGATAATCAGTACCTGATACGATGTTTAAATTCATAAACGATTTTCACTGAATAATATTAAGAAAAATTAAAACTGTAAAAAAGTACATATCATCCGACGAGTTATTATTGAAATATAATATTATATAAACGCAAATTTTGGAACTCAGTTACTGTCATAAAAAAACAATATTGATAAATAAATATTTGATTATTTTTTTTCACTTGGCATTAGTTTATTTTTTTTTGAATAAATCTATTTTAATTTTACTATAGTAATAATAATTATTATTTTAACCGTGGAAAAATCATATTTGCTAATTATGAGATTAAAAATTCCATTAAAATGTAGGTACTAAGTATATGATGAATTATTGAAAAATGTATTATATTTTATTGTCATACTAATTTTGTTATACCCATAGACGAGTTTGGTTTTGTTGTCTTTAACATACACTCAGTTTTCTATTGCTAACATATTGAGAGGGTGTAACAAAAATATCTTAGCTTTGTAGATTTTAAATTAAAATATAATAATCCATAACAAAACTTTAAAAAAAAAAAAAAAATGCTTCATAAGTTTGAAATCAAAATCGTCTTCCGCCGATTGAAGATTTACTCTTAAATCTTGCATGCGATAGAAATTAATATATTAATTTTTTCCTCATCTTCAGAAAATTTATTTTAAAATTCTTACAACATGGTTAAAACAAATATTAAAAAAAACCATTATATTCTTATTTATTCTTATATGCACTACTGATCATCTAATTTATGAAATAATGTCAGTTTAATATATTATACATTTTATTTTATTTTTATTTTTGTAAGCTATTTAATTATATTATTAAATAGTAATGGAATTTGTTTATAATTTAAATATTACTTTACTATTGTAATTAAGTTACTGTCCATTGAATTCAAAAAACAAAAAATATTTAAAACATTTACACGTAATTTGAATGTAAAATGTTTACGTGTTCGCGTGATGTATACTGTATACGTATGCATTGCTCACTTTAAGTCGTGTCGAGGATCAGCTCGAACCACTGGCGTTTGGACGCTGCCTTGAAACACAGCGCCTCCAGACCCTGAAATAAAAAGAACACATAGTTTATAGAAACATAATACGTATACTTTACTACTGCAGGATGATTTTCCATTCAATAAATTTAGTTATTATTTTAAAATTTACACGAAACTTCAACCATCAGTTATTTAATTTATTTGCTCCTATTTTTAAGTATAAATAATACATAATATTGTGTTTTACTTTATTTCAATAATATTTTCTACTAATTTAATATCATTTGAATAAGGTTATTGAAACATACTTTAACTTTTAACTTTAATTTTCAAAGTGTCTATATAAATTAATAATGTTGCTTTAATATTTCTAACAATTTTAGGTTGCCAATCTTGGAACTAGAACAAAAACTATTTTTTCTTAGGATTGTTGTAGTATATTTTGTTAGCTATATTAGATAAACATTGGTGAATAAAAATGTAAATTTATGATTTTAATTTTTGTTATCAAATAAATATTATAATATTGAAAAAGGTATATATCAAACATTTAAAATTTTAATTGTTTTTAGATTTTTTATAATTTTAACGCAAGTTCAAGAGGTTTTCAGAGAATAAATTCAGAGCATGGGATTAGATAGGTAGTAATAATAATAGAGACAATAAATAAAATCATTCAGTGTGATTTTAACTCTTTAAATGGTTAGGTTATAAATATTTATAAGTAAAAAAAAAAAAAATGGAAAAAAAATAGAATTACTCTTAAAAATTGAATACAATCACCACATTTAATTGATATTAGTTTAGGTTGTATAATCGACACAAATAGAGGAGATTAGTGGATAATCCTCCATAGCTCCTAGAAAGCTCCATAAAAATATAAATTATTATAGTTACTGTAATGATATGCTCACACATCATAATTTATTGTATATTTTATCATTTCGTTAAATAAAATAACGGTCAAGTTGTCGCACGCAGATAGCCCTCAATAAAAAACCAATAATCCTCTTTTGTCACTGATGAGAGAATACGATCTACATTGTTTGGTCACGTGGGAACCTAAACGCTATTGCGACCATGGGGCGCAAAGTGTTTGACTTATTCTCATGTGCCGCCAAAGACAAGGGATGGTCCAATGAGGCTCTCCGTCGTCGGATAGAAAGCCTATTTCTTGAAGGACAAGGAGGCCTTTGATGGAGCCGCCTGCGACTCTGGCTGGTCTTGACCACGTCGTTTTCTCCCCAGTGCAGGCGCATCATACAAACGAGCAGGAGCTCTTCCCAAGACCCATCACACACCCTACAACTCAAGACTGCGGGCGACAGCTGGACTTCTTTCTTTTTCTAAGATAAAATCAGTGTTGTTTTTCTTATTTAAATTTAAGTTTTCCTTAAGTCATATCGCAACTTATATTATCTTATATCTTTCTCTGAGGATCGTACTACAGGTATACACCGCGGCAAACCAGGTAAGGTGCATGCCATACATACTTATTGTCAGTACGAAATATTTTACTATTTAATTTACATACGGTGTATTTGATCATATTCTCGAAACACGATCTCGAGAACCCTCCGAAGAACAGGAGGAAGGTAATAGCGCAAGAACAAGTACATTCAACATTTATTAATACCGGACTTACATATAAGGCTTGTGTCCCTTGTGTCAGTCCGGCCACGTCATACTCATAACAAATACCCTTTTATTTTAATTTTTAATATATTTTTACTTTTTAATTTTAATTTCTCTTATTTTTGTGTTATTACATTACTAATAATAATTCATATACATTTTTAAAATAATTACCACGTGGACTTAGTCTTCAGAAAGTTGTACCTATTTGCACCACTATAATAAATATGGTTAATAGTTTCTGTTCGGTCTAATTATCCACAAAATATACTTGTTTAATCATGACTATACAGTATACATAATGAATTTATGCACAACAAGTAATAATATTTTCTACTTTACCCGTTACTCGAAGTTCTTGAGCGCCAACTATCACTTTACTCCGGTCGGCCGAGAACAACGTTTCGCCACGTGTATCGGTCACCCTGAAAACGTTTGCTTGTGCGCACTCCAAACCATCTTTAGCTATACAGGAGACAAAAATAAATCGATGCTATTATTTATTTTATTATAATACATAAATTTATTATAAATATATAATATACATAGATTTGTGACAATACTAAACAGCGCTTTTAAGAGAACACTCGCATGTGTTATCTACGTCTTACATACATTCAACCAAATAAATTAATTTCTAATTTTTTACAATTGTAACAAAAAAAAAAAAAAAAAAAATTATAATTCACAATAAATTTATAAATTATGAACTTGTTGGAATCACATGTTTAATAGTTTTAAACATTATTTAAGTCTTTGTGAATCAATTTTTTCCAATTACTGTATAATGATATTTAGCTTATAAAAAGTACGTCCAAGGATGTTGTTATAAGTGTTAAATACTAAGTATGTAAGCAATACATATTATTTAGAAATTTATTTTTTAAATTTACATCGATCAACGATTAATCCAATATGAAATGCATGTTATCATATTGATACCAGCTTAATGATTATAATTGTATTCGTTTAATACTTTAATATGTTATTATGTGTAAATATTGGCATCTACAATTTTATATAATTTAGTATTGTACTCAATTAAAATAATAATAATAATAATATACGAACAATATTTTTGGTATTAAAATTATTAATTTTTAATTATGGTTTAAAAAAAAAAATCTCAGCGTGTAAATGTTAATTTATCATGCGAAAAAATTGATATGTACCTACACAGTACGTAGTTAAATTATATAATATGGTGTGTACTCACTCAATTTGAGACTGTTCATCAGGCGTCCCTGTGAATTTCGAGCAGTCAATGTGACGTTAGCAGTGGACTCAATAAGAATCGGACGTCCGACCCGAGAGCGTATCGCCGACGCCACCAATCGGTTGGTGACCAGTGTCCGGCCAGATAGCCGGAGACCACCATGAGTGATCTTCATAGATCCTATACCCTCCTATGTCATAAAATACGTCAAATTATTATAAATAATATTTGATTGTACATTAAAAAGCTACAGATGTTGGGAGGGGGGAGTAGGATATTAGGTACTGTTAGCCAAGTAAAATAATCTTATACTGAGTACATTTCTAAGCTTCAGTCACAAAATGATACTAATAATTATTTAAGTAAGTATTAAAAATTGTTAGATATGTTTTTAAAAGTTCTTAGGATATTGTAATACCAACTTCACGCCTTGTGTTAATCACGTATTAAATTAAATAACAAATTCAATCAATAAATGCATGTCTTCTTTATAGTTTTTTATAAATAAATTTGTATTTACTTATAATATTATTATATTTCAAATTCAATTCCTGTATTTACTCGTGGTTTATTAAAATAGAATGCTTGCATTATAAATAATAGTTTTTTAATTATAATTTTTTTACTATAAGTATACTCACTGTATGTATGTTCGTAAAGAATAAAATATAATAATAAATATTAAATAGTTCTTAGTATTAAAAAACAATTGAAATTTTTTTCGGAATATTATAAGTAAAAAGTAATTTAAGTAGGTAATTTATATGGATATTGATGATGTTATTATTCTGTAAGATAATTCGTACATATAAAATTACACACGTTTAAATTAATACAAAAAAAATTGGCTATCCTACGATATACTAGCTAGAGAGAAAAAACGAAATTGTAATTTAGTGAAAAATGTTTGACAAACAGCTAATTTTTTTAAATAGATTTTAATTTTTTCGTTTTTTAGAAATCTAACCTTGATGTGCTCGTAAACTTTCATTGTATCATTTTCAATTTTTAGCAAAAATTAATACCCACTGACGACTGACGAGTGATAAATACCATTACGCATCATCAGTATAGATTGTATGGTTTCTAAATAGATTATTGAACAGAGAATTAAAAATTTTTATTATTATAATTTCCTTCACTTTATTTCGATTTTGACGTTTTACGAATGTGTTAAAAAAAAATTCTAAGCTATAAAAACTATTGTTATACCTAATTATATTATTAATTGTTATATATTATGTTTGTATAAAAAGTTTAAAAATTCAGCTATATTAGATATTAGTTCTTCACAGTCAATGTAGTTTGATATGAAATCGATTTATTACGAGTATTTTAGTGTTGTCGTAATGATATTGTAATTAAATTTATGTTGCTTCATCACCTGCAGCACGGCTCGGCAGCGGCGCGAACAAAACTTTATTTAAGTATTTTCGATCTCTACAAACGTCTGTACAGTCTTTCGAACTAGGGTTTTTATTCTCTTTCGTGCCTCATTCGTTTCAAACAGCACGATAACAATAATAATATATAGCCGTTTAAAGATATCAAAATTATATGTATATACGTAATTATAATATTATACGTGTCACCAACAACGACGGAACCGCAACCATCAACCCACGCGTTACGGGGCTGGTTTATCTATAAAATATATTATATTATCGTCAATTCAAATAGGTAGGTATATTATATTATTATGATGAAAATAATAATGACAATGATAACAAAGCGTATCATAAATCACGCGTACGTTTTTCACGCAAACAACCCTCTCGCCGCCATGATCTAGTTCACACGTGCTTATTAAAATATTCGCCAACGCTAAGCTTCAATATATGATTATACGAGTTTTCTCGCTCCCGTTTGACGACGTTCACGACTATCATTAAGTTACCTGTGACAAGTACAGTTACGTGTTTCTAACACGTAAGCAGTTATAATATATGTATAATTGTGGATAGGTTGGATTATGCGAATCCACATACTTCTTTTAAATCATTGCAATACTTATTATTTTTAAGTTTAAAATGACAATGCAAGTGATTATTATTATTTTTTGGTTCAACACATTTAGAAAAGAATGCTCAAACCTGCTTAATTTAAGGACATAGATAAATTAGTCTTGGCGGAGTCAGAAAACATGAAATGCTCACTAAAAAATATCAAGTTAAATGCATACTAAAATAAAATATACTAGAATAATCTTTTTTAATTTTAAAACAAAAGTCTTTATTTCACTTCATCTTTATTAAATATACGATTGTATTTCTAATTTGTATGCGTTTACGCGTTTCATGATAAATTATTTTATGGATCATGCTTTGAAAATATTATAACACATATTATTTGTAATTTATTAATAATCACTACGCGGCGATGATTTATCTTACATAAAATTATACGAAGAAAACGTATATAATAATACGGTATCATGTATATGTATGTTATACGTGAAATTGTGAAACATATTATATAGGAAAATTACTTGTCAAAGTTTACACTAACTCGAAAAGTTCGGCTCGTAACGGCCGGTTGGCGCGCGTGGTAACTATATGTAAGTATGGTATAGGTTTAAGATGAATTTCAAAAATTTTGCGCGGCAAAGACAGAATAAATATTTTGGTCTATACGAGTATATTGTATTATAATTTATATTAACATTTTATACGAACCGAAGCCCTACTACTGGAGAACAGGTGTTGATATGTTGTAGTCTCCTGCATTATATTATAATTTAATAGCTCTATATATAGCTCTATTATAAGGAACACAAATAAAATAACTAATGCTTTTAAAAAATATGTTTTTCGACGTATTAAACTGCCGCGCGAACTCTTTTTATAATACATACGCATATATAGCTAGTAGCTAAGTGCATATAATAATTATATTGAATATGAAACATTTAATGAAACGGGATAAACGTTTTCTTCAAGTCACTGAACAAAAAATATTTTAATATTTTATTTGAATCGCAAAAACATAATTATTATTATCGTCGTGTTGAAAATTATAAATTTATGTTTTCACGTCGTGTCGACACGCCTTCAAAGTACACGTGACCTATAACCTAGGAAATAAATTACATTTCGCGAGACATAATATTATAACCTCCAACGACAATTTTTTTTTTTTATCACACTGTTTTGAAAAATGATTTTCAAATTACTGCCGTATGAAATATAATATAATTTAATTTTTCATATACTTAGTAACTAAGTATAAATAAATAAAAATGTATTCATCTAGAGTTTGTGTTATTAGACATTTAAAATTATGTGTCCGTAACAATAAGCTTTTGCATTTGGTTGAGATCATTTATAATTTTTTTCACGAAATTATTTTTTTTTATAAAAAAATTAGTTAATTTCATTAAAGTTTTATTCGAGCAATGAGTAAATACTTGAATTACTTTATTGCTTTTTAAAAATAATTTACTCAATTCTATGTCTATCATAACGCTGTTCAACTTCTGTTCAATAATTTGGTATACTGTGAGCATATTTAACCACTGAACTACTATTATTTAAACGTATTTAAGCCAAAAATATAATAATAATTATAATAATATGATGTTGCGAACCTTGAAAATTTGACAACAGTGTTTGAATGCTGAGGACAACATATTACTATTATGCTGTTGCTGTCGCCAGAAGACATCTTTCAGCTGTCTACCGATGACAGTGATTTACACACGTCCACTTCATAATACGACGTGAACAGTTCAATAATGATTATTCAACAATTGCGTATAAGGATCTAACGGGTGAATTTAACTTATAAATGCGCAAAGTATTAATTATATGTTATTTATGTTTAATTGACTATAATAACGCACAAAAAGTGTGAATCTAAGTACACACAACAATGAGTTTTCAAAAAACACTTTTTATAACAAAATTATTAACGTTTTTTAAAATATATTTTTAAGTCAGTACCAGCTAACGAACATTTTCAAAAAAATTATAATTTTTAGTATTTTTATCGTTATACATTTTACCATTTCGCCTGACAATATATCAACATAAGCTATAACAATTTAAAGTTTAAATTAGCGAACTAGAGGTCCAAAATTTTGAAAAGTACTTTCTCGCTACTGATTAACTCTGTTCATAAAATATATGTAATTTATATTATTATAATAATGACTCATAAAAAATTGTTTTTCCATACTAATATTCTATTACATATTAAACTTCACAATAAGGTATTACAATTATATGTTATCATTGAAAAAAGTAAAATTTATGAAATAATAACAGTTAAAAATACAATTGAATTAAAAAATGAGGTTATACGACGTTTTAAATATATGTATATATCAAAAATATTTTCAGTAAGTTTTAATATTTTTTTAAATTATGAACATTCTTCAATGTTTTATTACTAAAATTTCTCCAACTGAAATCGGCTGAAAAATTACAAGTTTCTAATTGCTATTTTAAATAAAATCATTGATTTAAGAAAATCGATACCTAACTATAGCTGACTATAACAGATAAGTGTCAAGTTAAACAGTAAGCAATTATGTAAATTTTTAAATGTTAAATTTATTTCTCATCTCATAAATATTACATTTAGTACCATTATTTTTTATAAACGTTAATTCTAATAAAAATTTTACATTTATTTCAGAAGATGTTGTTTTCAAGTTGTTGTTGATAGCAATAGCGCTTTCCAATATATAAAAATACGGATAAACAATATTATATCATGTTTTTAATTGCCCACTCAAAACAAAGTTGTAGATATAATACTTACAAGTTACAATAAGACTCAAGAAATGTTTATTCAAAATATTTTTATTTAAAATTTTTTATGAAAGTTTTTCAATTTTATTAAAAGTTTATATTGCGTTATTATGCATTTTTATAACTTTGAAGTGTGTGGTTTCGCATATCTTGTGGTATTTTAATGCATAGTTGGTATATTTTGTCATGAATAAACACATCTAGTTAAAAAAAAAAAAAAATATCGAATACAACATTTTTTTAATGTTTTTGGAACTAAGTTATATAAAAACGTTTCAATGCTCTTTGAGAATACTATTTATTTTATAACTGGAACAATAATATTTTGCAGTTACCAGATTTTAACATATCTATTTAAGTGAAACACGAGTAATATATTAATAAGTAAAACAAATGTAACACAAATTTCTTAGTGAATTTAATTTATAGCATTGCAGCATGTGACATTACATGATTTACTGTTTGTCGATTATAGCCAATTATAACTGACTATTTCGGTACAAAGAAATGTTTCGTCGTCAAATCAAGTTATTAAAAGTACTCTGTAGCATTATAATATTATGTAATTTAAGTAATCAAAAAACTTAAGAAGAATACCACTGCGACTATTATACCAACATTATATGCACTTTATTTTACGGTACCGCACAAGTGTTCATTTTTTAATTAAAAAAATAAATAAAATAAAAACAGATACTTTTAAATTTATTATATAGTATAGGTACTTAAAATTTCCGCGATGGTGGTCAATTGCGCGACGTTTTTACTATTCTTATCACCAACGCTGTCGAAATGAAATGGACAAATTAGCTTTTGGATGAGAAATAATTTAAAATGTCTAAAGATAAATTTTAAGGTGCAGTATATAATAAATGTTATGAAACATCGATACTATACATCACTTTAATAATTTATTACATACAATTTAAATATTTCGTGTAAAAAGTATTCATAAAATCTAAAGTATAAACTTCGCGTAGCACACACACACAATATAATAATAATAATAATAAGAGTAAAAAAGTAAGAGCTATATTATATAAAGTGTTGTACACAATGAGAGTGTATCTTAATGTTTTAAATTAAAATTGAATACGCATTAAAATAATTAATGAGTGCTAATAATACATGATTAAATATAGAAAACTATCTAAGAGATGTTAAAATATATGAATATTAGTTAATTAATATAATATTTGAGTACTTAGTACCACTGGGCACTAAGTCAGATGCATGTTAGCCGTATGTATAATATTGTGGAGACAGAGCAATATACTCAGCTATTTAAATTTAAATTTAAATGAAATAACGTAATCTTAGGTTTATACACATTATATAAAATGGTTTCCACATATAAAGGCTATAACAACATATATCTCATATAAATCAATTAGTCTCACATCATAAAATATTAAAATAAAAAAAAGTATGTTCAGACAAAAAAGTTTGAACAAAACGTACTGTCATGTGCGTAAAACCTCAATTACCTACTCAAAACTATAACTACTAAATACATTTTTTTCATAGACATATAAAGAAAGTAATATAAAATAAACTTTAATAGGACCCGAAAAATTGCAGGGGGAACTAAACTGTTTAAGAAAAGTTTAATGGGACACACTTAGTTTAACACACTAACACATAATTTTGAGTAAGTAGTATTGCATAGCGCAGTGTTAAGCTAACAATATTTGTACCTCGTTAATTTGGCTATAATATTACGATATTATATACTATGAAAATTCGTTATTTTCAATTTTATTCATATATATTTATCAAATAATTACATAAAAAATTTGAAATCTATGATTAAAAAAAAAGATTTTTCTAAGATTGTTTCTAAGTTTAATTACAAACTAATTAACGTTGATAATCATTATATCCTATGTAATTTCTTAACTAGTCGTCGCCTAGAGTGGATGTTTAGCTTTAAGCGCGCACCTATACGCACGCAAACGTATAAGACATTTTATAATTACCGAAGTGAATTGCGTGACTCGGATGAACCAAAACGTGAGCGTGAGGTTGACGACGACGACGGCCAGCAGGCAAGTCAGAAACACGTACAGAGCGTGGGTCTTCCACTTGGCCGGGGACTTGGGCCTGGCACCCGCCGACAAATTGTTGTCGATTTGTGTTGCGCGACGGACTGCGACGTTCGGGTCGTGCACAGAGGCGCCGGACTTCTGCAGAAACGCATTCGTCTGGTGCTGGTTATGAGGTAGTAAAAACTGTTGCTGTTGTTGCGGCGTCGGCGTGTCCGCCACCGCCGACGAATCGTACTCGACGATATCCGCCGACGACGCGGGCCACTGTCTGTGACCGTCGCTGGCTGCCGTGACGTTCACATCGCCGTCGTTACTGTTGCGGTAGTCGTAATCGTCCATCACGGTTGCCGTCCCGGTCCGCCTATATTGCAAAAAATAATGAAATTATTTAATAAAATTAAATCGAAAAATAAAATTATATCAAAAATCGACGCGGTGATAGACGTAGACGAACGAGTTTGCTTTATAATTAGTTAGCATAGTACGTCATGATAAAACCGTGATAATCGAGATTTCAGGACATTAACGGGTTAACGATTTGAAGTCAATGTACAGTATTTAACTGTTAATTTTTTTTTTTTAATAAAACTTCTAAGTAAGTAACGAGGTAAAATTGTTTCCGTGATACGTAATTATTATACTCATCAATAAAAAATAATAATAATTGTAAATATTTACATTAGGTATGGACTTTCGCATCGACATCACTATTCTTGGTTTCTAGATTTCAATAGGTATTAGAAGAGCGTAAATGAATAAGATTATATACATACATTTCCATAGAAAATCACATTTCATGCCAAAAGATTTAAATTTAAATAAAAAAAAAACACTACCAGATACTTCTGGTCGATAAATATTGGTGCTGTGTTTTTTTTTTTTTTTTTAGTTATTTTTTGAAGCAGAAATTTGTTTAGATTTATTGGGTAAATTTTTGTTGAAAATCAGTTACCAGCGTTTTTAAAAATAATCGAAGAAATAAATAAATATTAAGACGTATAAATGGAAATGGGCATTTATATGCAAAATCAGATTTTGACAAAATGGATAATACTGTACAGTGTTATATACGTGAAGACTTAAATTTTTCACCAAATATTTAAACTAGAATTTTTTAAAGATAGTACAAATTTAAAAATATTTTAACTCTTTTTTTATAATATATACCTATGGATTTATTATCATTTAAAACTATCGACTTTTTTAGTTGTTTTTTAATTAATTTATAAAAAATTATGTTTATGAGTGATAATGCTTAACAATTTAATACAAAGTTTTTATTAATTTTTCTAACAGCAATTAAAAAGTATCGAAAATGCTTAGTTATACAGCTTAAAGTTCAAATGTTTACGCAACAAACTCGTCAAAAATCACGAAAATATTTAAATAATTGTGTAGCTATAAATTCATAACATTTTTAATGTTAACATTTAAAGCTGTAATTTGAGATTCCACATGTTTACTTTACAGTAATTGTAAAAAAAAATTGATGTTAAGTTATTTACATTTATTATATTGTGTAATTGAATGTCAAATTTTAATGAAATTGGATATTCATATGTTAAAAAATAATGATTTTTCCTTAAACAATTATTGATATTTTATTTAAATTCAAAAAATATTAACTGTTGCGGTTTAGAGTATTTCATTTTTACTTAAATTATCATTTTTCATATACATAATTATGTTTTCAAAATATTTATACGTCTTAATTATGCGGATATTTTTAAACTATTTTTGATTTTTAATTTTTTTTCTTTTGTGTTGATTTATACTGTTAAGTCAATCAATTATTTGAAAATTGAAAACAAAATTCTACTTAAGTTATTTTCGAATGAAAATATAGAAAATACACAGTTGCAATTTTTTTTTTATTTACAATCTTTTTCAGAAGAAACAAATGGGTAGGTGTACGTCAATTCTACACGATTCATAGTAGATAATATTAAATGTAAAAATAATTGATTTGTGATTATTAATATTTAATGTTTTGACATTTCATCAAATTAAATGAACGAGATTGTTTATCAGTGTTTTTAGACATTACAAAGAAGTAATAAGACACTTTTTTTTATATTGTATATATATGCTGTTAATTTAAGGTTTTTTCACTACTTAATGAGTTATGAGATTCTTTTTTTCGAAATTATTGTTGAATGGACTCCCTGTGTCCTTTTCCTCATTTATAGGTAGATAAAGAAAGGGTATAGCACACATCGTATTTCTTTTTTTTTGCTTTTCCAACAAACATTTTCAATAACGTCTCAATTTTTTTGAACGAAATTGTACCAAATATTCCCCTTTCCATATCATTCCATTTTTATTTTCGAGGTAGGAAAGATATATATCATATTTCAATTTTTTAGGTTTTTTTTTCCCCTAAGAGCGAAGCTATTACCTATACACTCGCATCCGATGTTATTGGTATGGACAGGGCTGTTTATTTAAACGGAAATTAGAGCTGAAATCAGGCGATAGAAATAATACCACAGAACTTGTGGTTAAACTAGCCGGCATAACGAATATGTTTGGTTGAAATTAAATAATTATAAATAATCACAAACTTTTTCAACGGAAAAAAAAATTAATATAATACAAACGCATAGACATAACATACATTTTTGTAACTGAGAGTGAAGCTTTTCAATTCTACCATTCTCATAACGACATAACCCCGTAATTCAGTGTTATCATAACCACTTGCCGTAAACATATATCCAATATAGGAGAAAAATTCTTAAAATATCAGTTCTTGTACGAACAATGTCTATTATATTATACGAGTCCGATATGTAATAATATTATGATGTCTAACCACGCACAATCGACTAACAGATAACAATATTAATGCTACTACTACGCGCGTACATAATGATAGATACATCCATGGGTATTTTATAGATACGCGATATATGTAATGTGTATTCAATCATCGTCGTTGTGGTCGTCGACGACTGTAAGTCGCTAGCGGACAACGACGACGACGATCAATCATCATTGGCGCAAGTCGTTTACAGCCATGATGTATATACGAGCACATAGACCGTACGTTATTTATATATATAAATAGGTACGTAAGTGTATAGTATAGTAGTTGGACTCGGGGAAATTTCCTTCTACAGGGCACTCGACTCTTGAACTGCAGCTCACGTGCACAATGTGAGGGATACACGTCTCATATTATTATATTATGTACAATGGGTATACGCGAGCGAGGTATACGTCGTCGCTAGGGCGGTTGGTAGTTGGAGTAGTGGGAATGGGGTTATATTATGCCCATTCAAATATGTTTTCCCTCTTTGACGTGACGTTTTATGTGAAAAAAAAATCACCGGAAACCGTAGTGAGAAGGGGATTTTCTTTTTAATAGCGTGGATACGATATACATTATATATTATTATTATATATGGGTGCGTGTTTAGTGGAAAAGGTTGTTTAGACCGCACGCAAATATGCACGTGTGAGTGTATATATATATAGGTGTTATTATTGGTGGGGTCCACCAACGATATATTACTTTGAATATATCGATACGGTCGATGAAGACGGATGGACCATGTGTGGCGGCGGCGGCTGTAGAATAGTTCTGTGTTGTAACTATATTTCCGCGAGCTTCGTTTCCCACGTGTACCTGGTTATATCATTATATATTGTAATAAGCATTGGGAATGTGAATTTTTAAAAACCTTTCCATGATACTCGTTGTTGCCCTTTTATTATTACGTTTATTCATGTATAGGATATGTCGTAGCGTTGAATGGGAACTAGAGAAGCACAAAAATTATGCACGCTCTACGCATACACATACACAAGCACACACACACACTCTAATTATAATTGCTAAATAAGTTAACAGAACCGATATTTTACAATAAGTATATTGAATGTATGCATTTTATTATTAAACAGCGACAACGTGACATATTAAATAATATTATTGAACCTAACATTATTATTTTATTACTATAGACATACCAGTATTTGGAAAAAATAAGTTCGTGAGCATGCATTCACCATCATTGCACCTTTGAAAAAGTTACTAAAACATTGGATATGTTATAAGTAAAAGTATTTTATTTTGTAGCTAATTTTATTATATTAGATAATCAAATTGATTATAGTATAAGATTTAATTATTTACATGACAACTTTTTTTTATCGTATAGAGGTATTAAGTTATTGAATGTATTTTCAAATAATATTATGAAAAAATAATTAATAAAATTAACGATCCAGTGGTTTTATTTTTTTTTAAAACGTAAACATGACCCGTGTTAGAAAAAAGTGAACGTGAGGGTGAATGAATAACTTTTTTATGCATATAACTCAAACGTGAACAAACTCAATTTTTAAGTAAAAACTGAAACGTACTATTAAATTATATTATAGTGACGACCAGTAAGTTAAACGCAGTTACCAATGACGTAACCTATAGTAATTATTTTTTTCTTTTAGGTAGGGGAATAAAACAAATATTTTTATCTATTGTGTCTAAAAATATAGATAGAAGAAAGCTTTTCCTTTAAAAATGTATAAACCTATAAATGTAAAATTATATAGTAATAATACTTAAAGTTTTGTAGAATAATTTAGAAATTATTGAAAATATAAAAGGTTTTAGTAAATATTATTATAATATTAATATTCATATTATAAGGATAAAAACGTATACATATGTACCTATTGAAAAATATATATTTTATTTTATAGTAATTATATAAAAAGCACACATAAAAATAATGTTAAAACTCAAGAATAATGCTTTTAAAAAAAATTATCTCTTTACCATTCGGCCACATTAATTTTCCATGTCGAATTTTGTAATTTTAAAGTGTTTGAAGTATTTTTAAAATATCAGATTAACATAAATTATTATTAAATTGGGGTTTTTAAGCAATGTAAATATATTGGTTATTGCATAAATATTTTTATTAAAAAGTATTAGAAGTTTAAATTGTTAGATGTATCCCGCAAAAGTTATGGTTTACTATTTAAATTATGGGGATTATTTAAATGTTCTTTAATAAATATATTTGTAACCTTTTATTCAATATCTATTCTACTAATGTGCAAATTTATATTGAAAAAATACGTATTACATTACCACGTATACATATACGCAACATTGATATATCAATTTTTTCTAGCCTTAATTTCGTATAATAAACAAACAATAATGAAACTATATTAATCCACTTACGCAATATGATCTATTTAAAATTTAAATAGCTATAACTATAGTAATTTTTTATTGAAATTTTGTAAATGGCTTAAATATCAATAAAACTAAATTTTCGTAACAAAAAAATAATTTCTTAGAAGTAGCTTACTTCTATAATAATAATAATAATAATGAATATATATTACCTATATTATTGTAGTTTAATATTTAGAATCAAAATAATTTTCTAAAAATTTCGATTTGTTAATAAACGAATTACAAATATTATGTAGGTAAATTGTTATTAAAATAAAAAATATAAAAACTACGATAATTCAGTGGCCAAAAATTAATTTTTTTACAAAAAAAAATGTGATATTTTTAATATTTAAGTCATAAATAATACATTGAACAAAAAGAAATTTAATTGATTTTTTTTCAGTATAATTACGTTTCGTATGATATTTGTACATAATAGGATCCTAAGGGGACAATCGTTTTGGTGGCGGAGATCGGCAAGAAAAATCAAACATTAATATCTTTTTAGTCGCAGTGTTGGTTACCGTAAAACGCTTTTTCAAACAGAATATTAATATTAATGATACGGTAGATAGAATTGTTAAGTATTCACAAAGCCATACACTACCATGACAAATAAAAAAAACCAAAACCACAGGAGTGCAGTGTTAACATTTTATCTTGAACTTTAGTGACAACTACAAAATAGTTTTCTTCTTCACTGTATTTATATAATATGATATAAGCTTGTAGCGTGTTGTACGCTATGTGGCTGTAGCTTTTATTATATTATTAGGTATGCGGTCAACAGTTTGTTTGCGGTATCAATCCACTTAGATACTATACTGTGATAGATAGTGCATATTCGAAGAGATATAATAAATTATTATATAAATATAGATTTAAGTTAAATTTTTAATAAAATATTACACCTAGTTCCACAAAACATTAGTAAAGTTATTTCGGAATAACTGGATTAGCATATGTATACAGTTTTTAAATCGCAGGTACTTAGAAAGATAATTTTAGCTGCAGATTTGAATAGAAAATATATTTAGTGACGTTAATTGGATATAGGAAAAAGTCCTCCATAGTACAATTTAATTCCAATTTTTCATAATATTATTATGTACGTGTTTGTATTACGTTATTTTTAAAAAATTTACTTTTACGCTGACCTTGTAACTTTGATTTTAACAATTAAATAGGTACGGTGCATAATAGTAGAACGATATATGATATGACACTATTGATGATGACTTAATTTAAGAATAAATGATTAAAAATCAATATATATTGTATTTCCTTATTACTTCAAAACTTTTCCATAAAAAAAAAATTCTATAAATAACACAAACTTCACTTATTCAACTTATCTAAAATTATTTAAATATTCAGACGTTAAATTTCCTGGTATTGATAAAAATCTTAAATGCAGCATTCATATTTAAACTAAGATAACTATAAGCACTATCATAAGTAACAATTTTATATTTTATTTAAAAAATTACTTTCAAAATATTTATTCATATAATAGTTACATTATACTGTAAAAATTTTTCTTTTTTATTTTCTAATTTCTGTTATTATCATAAGTTTATGTAAGTACTAACATTTAATTTACAATGAAAGGCATTACTCGTGAATGATTCTTGATTTGTTTTCTCATTTGTATCAATATTTATTCGTAGACAATATAATTAATTCCATCAATAAATATTAATGTTATTATCATTATTTTTTTATTATTTTTTATTGTTATTATATAATTACACTTAACCTAATTAATAAAAGGGTTTAAAAAATTTGTAAATATAATAAAATTATCATATTAGTTTAATATAAAAATATATTAAGAGGGATATTAATGTCATGTTTTATCTCATGTTTACCATACCTAAAAGAGGATTAGTGGTTGAACCTATCATGTAGCCATGTAATGGTAATTAAAGGTTTATTTTAGTTTACTAAATCTTTAAGACTTTTATCTTATAAGTTATAAACATTGAAACAGGTAATGAAAAAACTGTATTAGGTGCTACAGTATAACTTAACAACTTTTTATATCATTATATATTTCAGTCTTAGTCAATAAATCACAACAAATTGACCATATTATATTACTATTAGTTTGTAATGACCACTGTATACGACGTTTGGTTTATGATATATATGTGATATTATCCACATGTCTTGTAAAATTTGGGAATATTGTACACTTAGCCCGGTTAGTGTTTACATTGACCATCTTTCCAATAAACCGTAACATAATAATATACACTAAAAATATAAAGCAGAACAAATGTATTGCACATATTGCGGGAACGCATAAATCACACCCACACGTACAATGTCGTAGTCTGAAGGAAAAGAATATCGAGGCCATGATATTTACAGGGTTATTGGAATAAATATTTAAAAATTATATTGATTCATTTGTCTCTTAAAAATAAAAGTGTTTAGGTTTCAAAGCTTGGCTATTATTATTATCCTAGTTATGATTTATTATTTTTTTGTAATATTTTCTAGTGCTAAACCATTTAATTGATTTTCATTTATACAAAATGTTAAATTACTATTTTTTAATACCTACTCAAACGTGCGCATTTCATCATTTTGAAAATAAATAATGATAAAATTATTTTCCCTACCAAAATCCTTAGCTACTGTGCAAACTTTGGTTGAAATCAAAAATTATTGTCCGCATACTATAAATTATATTACCTGGGCATTGTTTTTGAACGGAAGTAATCAGCTGTTGATCTGCCACCGTAAACATCGTTTTCTAGTCCAATTCCACCGTTGTGGTTTACCGCAGATGCTGCAGTAGAATGTATCTGTAATTTGTTAAAATATTAAACAAATAAATTAAGTGCGACCTTTTACAATATAATTAAAAATAATTTTCTGTTGAACATTAAAAAAAGTTTGATTAGATAAATTTTGCCTTAACATTTAAATATAAAAAAAAATCAAGGTAAATATATTTTAATATATTAAAAAAAAAAACATCATTAATATTAATTTGAAGTAAATTTAAACGAAAGTATTTATTTTTAAATATTAATGCGCATAAAATTTAACAATAGTATCATATTATAATTTATTATTGAGTACAATTTGGTAAATTAGGTAAATTTATTTTTACTGTGTTTTTTTGAAAATTGTACTTATATTTATAAATTTGAAAATATTGTAATCTATATTTAGTACATAACTTTTTTATATTATGGGAACTTCTTTATTATTTGTCAAATAAATGCAAATACGCAACCAAGTCGCCAAAAAGATAAATCGCGTAAATAGGCTTAATTAGGTAGAGTGAAAGGCCAAATACCTCAAAAATATAAAATTTCCCCATAAAATATTATCAAACGTATAATATAATGATTCCCTGTTTTTAAAATATTAAAGATAATTTTATAATAATTAATTTTTTTACGATTTATAATATTAACAACAACATACAAATATATAAAGTGATATATATTAAAGTTGTTTAAACATATATAGTCAGTGAAATAATTTAAGTTAACGTAGGGGAGTAATTGGACTGTATCCCAGTGATAAGTATCTCGAGTTACAAACTTAACAGATTATGAATTATAATAATGTATTGTTTAAATCCTATTCAAAAATAAAAAAAAAATGATTTTTAATATGACATTATATTGTCTTAGTATTTTAAATTTTAGTATCATATTATAAAATACACATTAAATATAAAATATACAATAAGTATTTCTTATTATCTCTTTGAGTTTATAGAATTATGTAAATATCTACAATGGTATTTTGTTTATAAAAAAAAAAAAAACGTACTTTTATAAGATCTGTACATCAAGACTCTATGTTTAGTCTGATTGTTATAGTTTTTCTACACGCATTTTGACAAGAGGGTGCTCTTAAATGTCAATTATATTTAGGAGCTAGAAAGAAATCAGTACCACCTGTTCCTCTATTCTGAATCATATGTATACTTACTATTAACCTAACCGTTTTACCTTTTTAGCAATGTTCCAGAGTATTCCGAGTACAAGGCTATTATAACAATAATATTTAATTATTTATATAAAATATCAAACTCTTTAGTTGGAATAATAATACAATGTTCTATGTAGGTATGTCCAAGCGATGTTTTGTGTCATAATAAAATAATTTAAACTCATCATTGTTGAATAATAATTAAGTTTCTATGCGACGGTTGCAAAAGGAAAAGATAAAAAATAATAACTCGAAGTTTCACTTCAAATGCAATAATACCTTAACTAAATATTTATAAATTTATTTTAATTTACTCCAGCATAGCTCGGATTTATTTTTTTTTTTCTTTGGGATTTTATAATTTTGTTATACAGGAAAGGCTTCACTAGAATTACTTATAAATTAGTATGATAGTACCATGAGTGTATTTTAGATTTTTGAAACTCTAATATAATAGGTTCACAGAACATTAAAATAATAGCGTTTTTAAATTTTCCTGATTTTTCAAAGAAAGCTTACAGCCCTTTTAGCCTTGTGGTTATGCCACTGTTTAATTCACCCCATTATTAAAATATTAATTACGAATTTTTTTTCTTACTTTTAAAAACCAAATTAATTTTTCAGACAACCAATTTATTACGACCTACTATAATTATTTTTTAGTAAATAATAATTATATTTTTTAAATTATTAATAATATATAACTACTTGTTATCGTGTAGCCAATCATAAGATTATTATGTATACCTATTAAAATTTTATTTTAGTTTACCTTACCATTATAGTTATATACGTTAAATGTTCTCAAATTCTGTATAATAATATGTAATCCGTAAGATGAGATCAACCACAGACAACTATAATCAATATTGACAACTGACAAGACGTGACAAGTGTTGTTTATAGTACCGATTGTGGCCTGGCTGTATTATATTATTACAAGAGCTATCGGCGAGTGTAATGGTCTCTATTGGCACAATAACTATGAAATAATAATATTTACACGTTCTTATAGGATAGAACAGCTGTGTGATGATTATATTATCGCCGATTGGAGCCGCCGACGCGTTGATTTTAACGCGTTTATTATTTCGTTTTTCTCGCTTGCCCGCGCTTTGTTTATCTGGGCAAATAAACCACGACGGCGATGACGACGTGTTGTTACAATATCGCTGTGTCATTTATTCCTTTATCCGTAGCAAATATTATTATTATTTATGGCGTACTTCGAAGATATCTTCTATTTTGGCAAGCGTCCGAAACTTTATTTAGTAAAAAAACATAACCGTGTGAGGGGGTGACAGTAAAACTATATTCTATTGCGACATCAGCCTAAAACCGTTTGAAATAAAATATTAAATATTTAAACATAATATTAATATTCAGGGCTCGTGTAAGTTGGAGCATTAAAATAAAAGCTTGAATATTATGTACTGTAACAGTAATATGCAACTAAGTTTCTAAAAATGATCAAATATGCATTAAAAAACTTTTATTTTTAAGTACGAATTAACATTTTATAAATACGCAAAAAATCATTTCAATGTAGTTTTAAATTTATAAACGAAACTTAATCGTAACATAATATTTTTGATTTTTCATTTGTATGTATTTTAGGTCTATATTTTTAATAATTTAACTATCAGTGTATTAATAATAATTTATTAAACACGCATGCCTAGTAATTTTAAAGTTTTTAAACAATTTTTTTTTTTTTTAATAGACATCAACAAAAAATGGTATCTAATTACATAAAAAACTATTAAAAATGTGTTAATAATTACTTTAAAAAAAGGTTAAACTCTCTTTAAAATTTTAAATGTAAAAAAAAATACACGATTGTGTAAAAAATACTTTTATTAAACGTAGGTATGCTAAATGCCTAAATATATAAAGGTTTATGACATTATATGATTTTTGAAAACAAAATTCTATAATGCGTAATTAATCCTTTGTTACGTTGAAGAGCACTTCTATTTTGTTTAACTGTATACAACTTAGCTGCAATATTCTATACAAATGTTCGAAATTACGATCCCCATTAAAATGATAATATTACGTCGACTTATAAGCGCGAATGATCAGAAAAATTTAAATGTTTGCAGACGACTACAGTGGCGCAGGAACTATTTTTCAGGAAGGGGGGCAAAATGTAAAAAGCATAATAATTACTATAATATATTTATTTGTGTGTTATTAACTGAAAACCTTCTTTAATATATTTATACCTGTATATATATATATATTGTTTACAAAGGCAGTACCTATATGATAATATAAAATACAAGAATTATTTAAATGTATTAAAGAAATTATAGTTTAATATTAATACATTATATTTATACATTTATACATTGAAACAAAACAGAAAACATATTTACTTTAAAACTGAAGTTATATTTAAAATTAACAATAAATTAATAACAAAAAAAATTTAATGAATTTCACATAGAAAATTATTAAATTATATAAAAGTATAAAAACAATTTAGTATAATATAAACACATTTATATATTGAAGTAAAACAGATAACATATTATTATTATTAATTATTACACATTATTATTTACTTTATAACTGAAATGATATTTAAAATTAACAATATATATAAATATAAAAATTAAAATTAAATAAACGTTACATATCAACATTTAGAAATATTTAAAGAAAATTGATACCTGAAATATTAATGAAAATTTCCAAATGTTGATTTTCTTTGTGAAGTTCTAGAAACAAATTCTTTGGCAATTAACTTCAAATCAATTTTTGCTGTCATTGACTTATGAACATGTAAAATCATCATATGAGTTAATCTCTTTTGGGTCATTGTGGACCTCAAATATGTTTTTAATCTTCTCAATGCACTAAAAGAACGTTCTGCTGTCGCTGCGGACGCTGGTATTGTTAAAATTAATTTAATAAGTTTGGTGATTTCAGAAAACAAAGTATCTTTTGCATTTAAATATTCATTTCTCAAAATATTAATAATATCTGAAATAGTAGTGGTAGATACTATAGATGGCAACATAAGAAGCTGTGCATGAAGCTTATTTACATCAAAATCTTCATTCATATTATTTAAACAATTATTAAGTTCTTGGTGAGTTTTTGTTTTTTTATCTACAAGTATGTTTTCTAATTTAACCAAGTTTTTTAGACCTTGTTGATTAAAACGTCTATCAATTTCATTTATTAAATAGTCAATTATTTCAAACATATCTTTCTTCAGTTCACATATTGGTGATAATTTTGTAGAAGGGTTATTTGTATATTGAAGTCGTTTTGGTGTCTTTTGGATGCGTCTATTGTCTTCAAGTGGTTCTAATTTACATAATTCAGCATGTAAATTCACGGTATTTAATATCTTTTCAAAATTTTCATTAGTTCTGAATGATAGTAATGTTTTCTTCAATGTATCAGCAGCTTTAATAGAATCAGATGCACAAAATTTAGGATTTTGTAACACTTTTGCTAATTGTTCTACTGGACCAAAGATATGTATTGCAATAGTCAAAAAAAACATTGTTTTGAATTTTTTTAATTTTTTCACATATCCTCTTAGTGTTGATTTTCTATCATCTGCTATGCAAACACTTCCTGAAAGCATTTCATCCAATGTTTTTTGAACTCTACTATAATTATCTAAAAATCTTATTAAACTTTTAACCCTTACAGACCATCTAGTTGGACAAAATGGAAGTAGGTTTTGTTTTATACTATCCAATTTAGACGAATGATAACATGGCTCTAATACTATATTTTCATAAATACTTTTTCTCTTAGCAGATTCAAGAATAGCATTTGACACATCTCTGACCATAGTAAAAATATCACACATGGAAATATTTTTTCTTGCAACTTCTTGTAATGCTAAATCCAATGAATGATTACTACAGTGTACAAAACAACTTTTGGGTTGAACATCTTCAATTAATTTTTTGACCCCATTCAATTTGCCCGACATATTAGCAGCTCCATCAAAACAATGACCTCTTAAATTTGATGTAGATAAAGTAAATCTTATTAAAATATCTTTAATCGTGTCAAAAAATGTTAACGCTTTACTATCAGGTGTATTATATAAACCAGTAAATACTTCATGAACTTCAAAATTTGAATCGACATAACGAATACACAAGGAAAATTGTTCTGCAGAAGAAATATCAGTAGTTGAATCAGCAATTATAGAGAAATACTCTGATGTTTTAATCGATTTCACAAGTTCACGCTGTACATTTAATGACATTATTTCTAATATTTCATTTTGAATATCTGAACTAAGCCAGTTGTTTTTTTGTTGTATCCAATTTCTTAAACAAGGAACATCTAGAGATCTTTCTTCTAATAAAGAAATAAAATTGCCATCATTATTAGAATGTCCTCTGATACTTAATCCCATCTGACTAAGGTATCGCAAAGTACTTATTATTGTTAATAAAGCAGTAGATGCATTTTTTTGTTCTTCGATTTTTTGTTTAGACAACAAAGAAATGACTGGTAAATTAGAATTGATACTTAAAAGATAATGTATAGAGTTAACATGCATTTTACTGTTTTCATGGGAACGCAATTTTTCAGATGCTTTTTTCCAATTTTTAAAACCATCTACTATAAAAGATAACTCGGTGTGTTTATTTAATTTATTATTTGTCTTGTGATAGAATGAAATACAATCAAAACAAAATGCACGATCTTTAGATGTATCATAATGAAGCCAGGTAAACGTTTCAAACCACTTTGCACAAAATGATCGGTTTTTGTGTTTTGGAAAAATAAAACTACTTGATGGTTGATTTTTTGTTTCAATTAAAGGAAGAATGGGTTGATTACTTTTTTTTGAAAATGAAGATATTGATATAACATTACTGATATTATTTTGTGAACTCTGTTGTAACTCTGACTCCTGAAAAAATAGTGCCCATTTCAATATACTATATACTTTTTCTGAATTTAGGAAAAAAACCCCATACCAACTAAATACATAATAATTTGTTATTACTATAGATATTATAATAATATAATATAAAAAAAATAATACACCTAACATTGTTTTTCATAAATGATTAAATTATTTTATTATATTATATTATATTACACTATTATTCACCGAATTTATTATAATAGGTACTACATTTATTTTATTAATAAGGTAACTATTAAACTATAAAAAAATACATCTAGGATGTGGCATTAAATAATAACTAATTAAATTACAGCTAAAATAATATAATATTGACTACATACTAGGTATATATACAATATACATTGATATTATGCTAAAAAAAGTGTTACATAATTACCTATTGAAATATAAGCTTATTGCTTAAAAATTAAAAATTATAAAATGTACACGATGTACAATTGAATTAAAAAGGCTTACCTTTGTGTTTGATTTTCTAATGACAAATTTGTCCATTTTAATTTTAATAAGATTAACATACACGAAGTCGTAATATTGGCCTCTCGCGCTCTAATGACTGTTGTAGTGCTGTCTACTCTACAGTCTAGTCTCTAATGTCTAGTGTCAACTAGTAATAAAATCCGCTTGCGCTTAAAATATTTAATAAACACCGTACAACCCATAAATAATCTAATAATATTATAATAATAAACAACATAGTTCGCTGTTAGAACACAGGGACTGGTGGAATTTCCCAGTAATTTGATAAAGCAGCACTCCAAACAGAGAATGTCTATTTTTATTTTTATAGTTTTAAATAATTCAATATTATGTATTATCATTGATTATAAAATATACTACAAAAAAAATAGTATAGTGTTAGTGTATACTTGTATTTATAATCAATGGTATATTGGAATTATGTTATAATAATAAATACTATCGTACGCATTCACGAAAATGAGATCAATTTTGAATACTTAAATTTAATACGTATAAATTAAATGTAATTTACTGCTATGGTATACGTTTTAATGTTAATGTGGTTGAGGTGGCAAAATTATACTTTTGACCCCCTTGGATTATATCTGAGGGGTCAATTGCCCCTTCTGCCCCCCCTTCTCCGACGCCACTGGACGACTACGATAAATTTGTTCAGTTTCCCACTGTACCGTTTTATTTTCAAACGTACCTATATACCCTTAATTTTGTTTGTTTTAATTTGATTCTCAGCAGTCAGCCCAGAGGAGACATGAAATCAACTAATATGAGGACAGAAAAAATACAAAATTGAAATTTTTAAAGGTTTTTACATTGCGCACACACTTGTGCAATCGTATTACGATGACATTATCGCGAGACTACGGCGGCGATTATTGCCAGTGAATTAAATATAATAATAAACGCCGCAGAAAATTATTGTGTGTCGCATAATATATACTATATATACGTATAAAATTATATCATATATTATCTGCTAAGCGGTGGTGTGCGTATGTATTGTGTGTGTGTGTGTGTATAAATATATATACGGTATACAATTACTACTATTATTCGTTACACGGGCACAGCCGCCGGCGGACGCAGTGAATTATGATTGTAATAATAATAATAATAATAATAATAACAATAATAATAATAATAATAATAATCGTCAGATATTTTGCATATAAATTGGTATACTAGCCTTGTGGAGGTATATATATATACATATAGTGTGTAATAATCGTCGTCGTCGTCGTCGTCGTCATCGTTCTTATACTGGTGAACGGGTGGGTGGGCTAAAAAAAAATTATTACGAGCGAGTCGAGCACGCCACCGTCGACGACGCTGCCGTATAAAAAAATCGAGTTGTGTATATAGATTTCGCGCTGTATAACATAATATTATATAATATACAACCGAGAGGATGCGATGTGATTTAAACCACACGCGCACACGCGTATAGTCGTCGTCATTATAATAATATTATATTTATGGCATCGTTATTACGGCCAACGTCCTCGTGATTCACTTGAAAACAAAAAAATATGCCCAACAATGAATAACATAGAAAACCAAAGAGAGTTGGATGCCGTCATTATGATCAAAAATGTAGAAACATTTAAAACTGTGACTATTGTATTACCTACACTAGGTGCCTACTGCCTAGATATAATTATCACGTCTTATTAGTTATTAACTATACACAATCACTTAAAATAATACAAAATGAAAAAATATAAAAAGAAATGAGATGATGTATTTTTTATGAACTCAGATAGTGAAATTGATCATCTATATAGTATTAACCTAATACCTTCCTATAAACGGCTACATAATATACCATTTTTTTCGTTCAACAATAATAATTTGTATACTATACGTTACAAAGTGAACCACATTTTAAATTTATTTTTACGAATTAATTATTAATTTTATAATTACATCAATCAATTATGAAAACAGTATGGAGTAATTTTGAAAACTTTTTTTCATTATTAAATTCCATACTCTATAATTTAAAAAAAAAACATACTTATGTAAAGACCGCTTTTAAATTGAAATTATTAAAGGATCAATCGCTAAATATACTTCAAGGAAAAAAGTATCTAATCTAGGTCTATCGCTGCATATAAAGTATAGTACAAACAGGATATGATTACTGCTGACCTTTACAATATATTATTATTCATTTATAATATTTACATTGAAGTATCAACACACTGTGTAACTCAATATGTCAGTTCTCCATAGCTATCAACACTTAACATAATGTGTGAGATTACGTACAACTATGATACAGCCACCTACTGATTTAAGACTTTTTTGATATATTTTGTTTGTTAATATTGTTTGAATTAAATTGTTTGCAAATCTTCAATAGATAATATAACGTAATAGGTAATTATTGAAACTGAATTACTGTTATTTGAATTTATTATCATACGATTTTATCATCTACGACTATCGACCCAATAAAGCACTAAGTACATCAAAGATATTATAGTATGAAAACCATCCCTAGATATTTTATATTTAACAAGTCACCCTTTGGTCACGTTATAACATATTAAATACAACTTGTATGACTCGAACTTTGATAGTCAAAATTCTCCCCTCGTAATCCACAACATAAAAACTCGCTGAAACTTGAATTGTCATTTAGCTCCCTAGGGTTCTGTGAATCGTGAAAGTTCTACTATGTATATTTATACCTACCTATTATATCGGCACATCTTAAGAGAGCAGGCAAAATGTTGTTAGAATCATGTATCAAATATACATCACAATACGTTTGTATTTGAATTCAACTTTGTATGTGTTACATTATGCTTCGTTATACTTCTACTGAGAAGACATGTTTGGCCTTTAAAGGCATTAAAACTTATTTAACCTATATTTATTTAAATATAATACGTATTGTGATACGTAAAGACAATATAACCCATGTTAAAAAAAAAAACCAAAAAATGCTCCTTATACAGTTGACAATACACACAAGATGATGTATTCGAAAAATATGAAATCGTTGTTTTGTCACAATAACTTTGTTTGTCAATTCTTTTTTGTAAAAAAATTTAATACGATCGCGAGTGGAAGAAGTTAGGTGCTATAGATACTTTGCCAGGTTATATCTATAAGCACCTACAGGTCCGGACTAGCCACTGTGCTACTGTTCTACAGCACAGGTCGCATGCCTCAATTTTATAATAAACTATTTGAGTTTTTTTAAACAATTAATGAGCAAAAAAAAAGGTATTTTTCATATTGTATCTATGAGTCGCCTCCTTATTAAGAATATTAGGCTATAGTATCCTCTCATTCCGGGCCTGACCACCTACCTACTTATTACATTGTTATATTGTACCTACACCACCGTCATATAAGTTATACTGAAGTTTGTTAAGTAAAAATGAAATTTGATAGTGAATAAAGTTATGATATATTGCCGCGAAAGATTTGATTTGGATTCCGTTATTTTATGGGTTGGTACTTGGAAATCGGTTGGGTACCGGTACCGTGTAGTCAGTGGGTACGGTAAGTTTTCAAAACGTATAGTAAATAAATGCTTACATATTTTTATTGTTTAAAATATAACAACAGGTAATAATATTATTGTATATGTTTTAATAGTAATAAATCAAATAACAATTATTACAAATATCGCTGTAGCAGGAAGAAAACAAAACCACATAATAGACAGTCTTTTAATAAAACTCTTTCATTATCGTTGCGTACTGAGATCAAAATGATAGATGTCTTAATTTGTTTATAAAACGTCTATACATAGCGTATCGATATTTATTTAATTATTTTTAATGTTAATGTATTTGTTTTTATAATATCAACACATCATGTACATGTAATAGTGGCAATGTTTCTTTTATAAGTTGTTTATTTATCGCATTATAATAACAGTATGTTAAAACATAACATATTATTATAGAATATTGATATTGCATTATTATTACGTATATTTTTACGGGAAAGAAAAATCAGCCGTATGTAAGTTCCTATACGGAAATAAAATTAAATGTATAACTTTCTGTAAATGTATAAGATTTTAACAATATAATATAATCTCAACGATCATATATTATCTGTTGACTGGTATTTATATCTATGGCATAGTATAAAAATTTTAATTTTTCAAAATCAGTACTCGTTAGTCATTCACCAAATTAACGTATATATTTTAGTAATTTATTTAAACTAAGTTATCCCTAATTAGTTAAAAGGGAAAACAAAATATATAATACCATTTTTTTTTTTTTTTGATATTTTTTAATTACTACTTCGGTCACGCATGATATTGTCATACATATTATAGCGATTATTTAACTTTTATTTTTTTTTCTTAAAATACTTAATCAATAAATATTTTGTAAAAAATGCAAACAAATTATGAAGTCGAGCACACTGTATTTTGTTTATTTATATATATTTTTTTAATTATAACATAATAGTATACATAATGGAAAACAGAATTATTAATCAAATCGCGTTTTGACTCGAGTTATGATTTCTAGATATTATGTTAACACGATATGACATTTCGAGCTCGACGCATTGTTTTCATAATCTACCGTATTAATAAGCAAAGCTGTTACAATAATGTATTCTGCTTTAACCGGTCAAGTAATCATTAGGTTAATTAAGATATAGAGTATAGACTGACCAGTAGAGTTGAACTGTTTAAAAAAAAAAAAAAAAATCGAATTTCCCACAATGATTTAAATTTTTAACCGGTCAAAGCTCACCTTCTCTAGTACTGGTATACGTGTAATTACATTATTGTTTTCCGTGCAGGAACTTACGTGTCTAACCCGCGGTTTTTACCTGCAGCCACTATCGTATCGCGCCAAAACTCACACGGTCGCGGCGGCTGCAACCGGACGTCACTTACTTATCGTCAGCGAACGGACGAGACGAGCCCATGGTAGGCTATACGGATTTCCGGTGGAACACACACGCCGCCGCCGAAACGTACCGATCTCAATGCTGCCGTAGTCGCCGTTATTGTTGATGTCTGGCCGACGTTTCGGGCGATCGTTTCACGCGCGGCGTCGATATGGAAAGTTTAATATATTGTAATGATAATG